GCTTATACTATAATTTTATTTTTAACCTACCTTTGTAATAAAGATTATTCACTAAGATAAAATGGATACATTAATGTATTTAGTGCATGTTGAGTTCAAATTGTTAGTTCTGGACATTCATTTGTTGATAGACGTATTACAATTTCAAACCAGAATGTCCCCAGTTCCAATGCATTCTGTCTGCTACCAGTGTAACCGACTCATTTGTTCTGGCTCCTACCTTCTCTGAAGGATGCCTCAGAATCATGTTGTCTATTGGGCCACCAGAAAATGGTTCAGAAGCTAAACTCCGCAGGAAAAAAAGAGGTAGGTGGCTTATTGAATCATAACACTCATTTTTATTTTTTTATTTTACAATTTGCACAGAGAAATTTTCATTCAATATAATATATCATCATTACATAGGACATTGATATTAGCAAACATCTAGTATGGATCAGCCTTGCCATGACTGAGAGCTTCTACCAGCCAACAAATCAAAATATGTCCAGATCTATCCGGTTGTTAAAGAACAGATGGGTTCTCGTACAAACTCTGAGTTCATCCTGGCAATCAAACATGAGAACAACTAATGGTTATCTGTCGTCTCAGTCATTAATGTGTGTTAATTGGTGAAATGAGGCAGTGCTATCTGCAGTTCCAAAGGTCTAATGTCCCAAATACTGGTAGAATATCTATGGTGATATAGTTAGTGGCCATATGATGTCAATACTCGGTGTCCTGCAAAGTCTTTTTTAGCATGTACAGAACTTGATTTACTAAACAGCAAACGTTTGGAATACTTTTTTTTTACTCAGTCAATAATGTAATGGCTAGTTCCGTATTACTATTATACCCATAATGAGCAGATTACAAAAGCTTTCAAAAATGTTTTGGCAAAGAATGTTCCCCTTATACTGAAAGACTTTCTTTGCAATATTATAGATGACAGAGCAGTGCTTCCTGCTTTATTCCAGTCTTCAGTCTGAACATGTCGCGCTGCATAAATCTGTGAATGGTGGGATGGTGGGATACAGTGACTGTGAGAATTTTGTACAAAGAATGATTCTGGAGCAATATTTACAATGTAAAGCAATCACCATGGCAACCAATGGAATATTCCTGTTGTTTATATCACTTTTAGAACGTTGCCCCAGAATTGATCGTTCCACTCAATACTCATTATACTCATCATACACATTACAGTCAAAACTCCATGTATGGACTGTGAGAAGGCAGGTGAGTCCATTACCTATCAGTCATTGCCAGTGACCTGAAAAACAATTTGGAAAATACTGGATAAACAAAGAGAATTGGGAGTTCAAATTAAAATTTAAAAATGGAAGTGAAATTCAGCTCAGATGGGTATTTTTTTTTACTATTTCGGCTACTTCAGTCTTAGCCTTTCAAGCCTGTTTTCACTTGCTAATTGGTAAGAAAGACCTTGTTATGACACAGTTGGCTTGGTACCAATATTCCTCTACTAAAACCCTGCACTATTGATTACTCTCACGATTTTGACTTTTTTGCGTTGACTTATTTTGTCCTCAGCCGCTACCTGTGGTTCACCCTGATTTTAACTGGTCTCCTTCGACCGCTAATGTGCTTGCAGCCTTACCATGCCTGATTTGTTTTTGTTTTGTTTTTGTTTTGTTTCATATCTGGAGCCCATCTGTTGTCTGCCTCTGGGTGCAAGTGAAAGTCAACATCCTTGTATTCACTGATCCAAATGCCCCATGCACAGCTTTAGTGCTATTATTTCCTATGCAACATTTGCATTGAATGTATATAAATAGTTGTGACGAGGTGCCCTTCGCCACTTGGTCCTGGAGAGGCCTGCTTGCTTGTGGAAGGAAGACGGCGAGACTCCAGTCAAGTTACAGCGGTTGCGGAGTCTGCGGTGGTTGTGGTGTCCGGTGCGGTGCTTGTGGTCCTCGGCGCAAGCGAGGAAGCGTCCATCAACGGAGGGTACTCGGTCGGAGTACGGGGAGCTCCGTTACAATAGTTTTTTACAGGTATAACCATAACAACTAAAAAATGATATCATATGACAATTGGGTGCAGAGGAGATAAATGGGAACTGATTACCTCCCCCCCCCCCCGGACCCTCCTTGTTTTCATGTACTTGATCCCTTTTCTACCCTTTCCATTATATGATCTTGACCCTTTCCCAGTCTTTCCAACTGCATCTAACACATGGACCACAATTCCAACTGTAATCGACCACCAAATGATGCAGCAGAATAAAATGTTGTAGCTTGCAGTTTGGAATCGATGGCTCTTTAGCTGTATTCAATATGTTTACTCCGACCACAGCTCAAGTTGCTCAGTTATAGGCTTTCCTTACTAAATCAATGCATTTACCACATTAGACGATACATGGAGCCTCGAGTTATATTGCCTGTTCCTCTTATATGGAAAAATGCCAAAATGATTCTGCAATAGAGGTTCTGGGATCGATAAGTTACTTTTATCAATTAAATGCTCAGTTGATTACATCCTATCATGTCATATAGAATTACTGATCTAAACTACAGAATTATAGATCACGGCATAAACAAACGAAAAATAAATTGTATTATTATAAGCTTCTATTCTGATTAAAAGTGGGCTACATTTATTCATTTATTCATTTATTTATTTATAAAATATATTTTACCATGATGGATACATTGAGATTTCTCTTGTTTTCAAGTATGTCCTGGGTCCACAAAACTTTGCATTGTTACAATAGGGTACAATATTACAAAAATACAATATACAAACTATATATATATATATATATCTATATACATACACACACGCACACACATATCATAACAGGTAATAAATATATTTAACCATGGTAGGTGCATTCTGTGTTGAGGTATATTGCCATTTGACTGTATCCCTGAGGTTATTCCATAATTGCGGTGCTCTGTAGGAAAATGAGGATCGAGCCATTTTATTTTTGTATATCGGTATGCTAAATATCGTGCTAGGACTGGATCGGGGGTTATAGGAGGTGGAAACAGCTGGGGAGAGCATTCTATTCAGGTAGGGTGGGAGCTTCCCAGAAATGCACTTAAACACAAGGCTGGAAAGATGAAGAGTGCGTCGGGATTCATCCTTTGTGTTATTTTGTCTCAATGCTGTGTTTATTAGGAAGAATTCATTGAGCTATTATCCTTTACTCATTACTTTGGTTTGGATTTAATTCACGTATGAAATACTTTGTATTCTAGGTGGTTTACAAACACACATTATGTTACCATCCCACTAACACTTAGATTTTGACATCGGAGCCATGCGTTCTAGGTTGTTTCAGATCTTGCTTCTATGAGATGCATTAACAGGAGATACTGGTTTTTATATGTATGGCAATTGGTTCATGCTCCTAAAGAGCCTACAAACTGGATTGAACTACAAATTAAAGATGTACAAAGAAATAATCACCCACTGTTTCAGTTAAGATCTTAGTCCATTTCAGACTCAGGATGTCATTGTGCTAGTATATTTCATAATGAATTTCTAAACTGCTGCCAATGGAAGTGCTTAGCTGGCTTGATGTGAATTCTAGTAACTTGGATATCTCTTGGAACCAGGACTTCTAAAATGGCCGCTTACTGAAACAGGATTCAAAGAGTAAAGAAAAGTAGTTTGCCCTCTGGACTTACACCTCCTTCATGTTATTTATGTTAACCAGACCACCACTTAAGACCATACAAATTTCTTTCTGTCCCTTTGATTTATTTTTTTATTTTTCTATAATTGTATTACCTGCAATTATATTCATCTTATATAGTTCTGTTTTCAGATAAGGGACACCCATAAGCTCTAGGACTAATACACAGAGTGATTTGGGCTTTACTGGTTTCCATTGTAGCAGGTGGACCTCAATATATAAAAAATAGGTTGAAGTATTTATGTTTGACTCGATACTACTTTATGAACTACTTTACGAAACACTCCAAGCAGCCCAAAGTGATTTGTCAGCCACCGCCCTTGTAAATAGTAACACTATTTTTAAATGGCTTTGCTTCATATCATAGAGTTGTTTCTCCATCCCACTACCAGTGAGCCGGATTCTCCTAAGCAGTAGCTTCCATACATTCTCCTGAGCTAAGCCTTTTAATCTTACACAGGAGGATGTTTTTAGCTAGTAGGCAATTAAAGAGCAGGAGATAAGATCTTCTAAAGATAAGAGATGTGTAATGGTTTGTTTCAGGATCTCTGGTAAGAGCCTCCTGGTGTGGGATATCTGTGGGACTTTTATAATTAAGAAGGCAATAACGAAATTCACTAGGCTCTTTATTGTTAAACAGGCAAATATAAAGATAGCAGCTTCATCAATAAAACCAATAGTAACATTGATTCACCTTTTAAAGCGTTTTAAATGGACGAATATCCCACTATGCAGCAATACTACATGTCCTCTATAAAGCTGCCAAAGATCTATGCGTTTATAAGAGTTATACTTTGTCAAATCAAATAATGCTGCCCGGAGGAGAATAGTTCCTCACTGAGGAAAGTGAGTGGAAAGGTACAGATCTTTTACACTATTGTTTCTCAATGGGGATCTACTGATAGGCTGAGGGTGTCAGCTAGTGCTCTATGTATATCAGCAGTAC